GCGACGCTTGCCACTTTGTTCTTACCATGCCAGTTTCTGCCTTTTTTAGCATGCAAAACCATCCCAACATGCAAACGAAGCTGGTTCTCAAGCCAGCAGAGAGCTGCTGTGACTGCTTCCACCTCCATTTTTAAACTTGACCATGTTGTAGAAGTTGTAAGTAATGTATAGGACAGAAAGGGTTAATGTAATAACTGTCAGTTTTGCAAATAGCTCAGATGGAAAAAGTTAATTTACTTTCTGAGACTGCAGTTTTAAGGGAAAGCTAGTGCCAAATGAGCGTAACATTTAGGGCACAGGTATTAAGTATTATATAGGACAGAATGGGTTGAGGGAATAACTCTCAGGGACAGGATAATAGCTAGGACAGAATGGGTTAATGTAATAACTTTCAGGAACAGGTTGGTAATATTAGGGACAGAGCAGGTTAATGTAATAAGTCTCAGAGACATGGTTGTAATAGCAAGGACAGAATGGGTTAATGTAATAAGTCTCAGAGACATGTTTGTAAAAGCTAGGACAGAGTGAGTTGATGTAGTAACTTTCAGGAACAGGGTGGTAATATTAAAGACAAAACAGGTTAATATAATAAGTCTCAGGGACATGGTGGTGATAGCTAATATTGAATGGGTGATAATAGCTAGGACAGAACAGGTTAATGTAAAAACTGCCTGGGACCGGGTAGCATTAGCTGCGACAAAAATGGTTAATGTAATAATTGTTAGGGACAGGGTGGTAATATTCAGGACAGAAAGGGTTAATGTAATAATTGTAAGGGGCAGGGAGTCTGACATAAAAGCACAGATGGAATGTTATTCTCTCTCAGACTAAAGTTTAAGGCAGAGCTATTGCCGAATGAGATAACTTCTCGCTATCTCATCTAGGACATATGTTTTAAGTAGTACTCAGGACATAATTAGGTAATGTAATAACTCTCAGCAACATGGTGGTAATAGCTAGTTCAGCTTGGGTTAATGTAAAAACTGTTGGGATGTAATAGATTAATGTAATAATTCTCTGGAACAGGGTGGTAGTAGCTAAGACACAATGGATTAATTTAATAAATGTTTGGCACAGGGGTTTTATTTAGTAGTAGGGCAGAATGGGTTAATGTCGGGGACCAAGCCTTTTAGTAACAGCTGGAACACATTGTTTGGGCATCTTCTTCACTGTGTTGCTTTTGGGATATATTTTCGTTTGAGGTCAGATGGCAGTCTTTGCGATCTGACCAGGCTTCGCGCAAGTACTAAGGTGCAGCCAGAATGCCTCAGGTACTTTCTATTTGCGGATGATGTAGCCATTACTGCACATGCAGTAAAGGATCTGCAGATACCCATAAAATGCTTTACAAATGCATGATAAGATTTTTTTCTCACCACCAGTCTCAACAGAATGCAAGTGAAGGGAATGAAGGTGGTAAAGCATTACAACCATGAGCTGTTGGTTGTACATGCATTTTAGTACCTTAGCTGTACAATTGCAGATGATCTTTCTTAGATGCAGAATTAAGCAGACACACTGGAAAGCTTTCTGCGGTGCTTTGGTAAAAAAAAAAAAACACACGAAGGGATATGACCCATCATTGTGAAGCTTGCGTCATGAGCATGCTCCTTTCCATCAGTCAAACCGGGACTCTGTCTTTCTCTCAAGAAAAAAGATTGAATATTTTCCACATGCACTGAATGAGACTCATTCTTGATATATCATAGCCAAATTTTGGTCCCAACGAATGTGTTCTCAAAAGAGTAGGAATGCCAGCGATGTGCTTTCTGCTCAAGCAAAGATACTTGCGTTGTTTGGGGCATGTCTTCCTTATGGAGGACAGTCGCTTTCTAAAGGATCTCCTGTTTGGTGAACTTGAAACAGGTAAAAGGTCTGAAAGAAGGCTAAGGCTGCAAGGACATTAAACACAACCGGAGGGATACAAACATAGTCACAGACACTTGGGAGAGATCAGCTGCTGACCCTTTCCTATGGAGGAAGACAGTGAATTTTTAAAAATTTGTTGTCAAGTATCTAGAAACCATGAGTTGTTAAACCCTTTAGCTCGGTACTATATATATAGCAACTCTTCGGCCTTGATTCCATGATAGATACTGTAAATCTGGTAGAAGTGTAGCTTCTCTGCCTACCCTGGGGCATCTGGGAGAAATGTAGCTTTTTCACTTACCCTGGGGCGTGAACCCGGGCCACAAGGAGTTTGCCACTCAGTCCGAATTTGGCAACTTTGCTAGCGAACTGTTTGAGAAGACCGTGAAAGACGGACTGTTGCATTTTGCCAGAGAACAAGCGCAGCAGGCTATAGAGAGGAGACATCTGAGAGAAGACCAGCCTCAGTGTAACAGAGTATCAAAGTTTCTATGTGACTGTGTGACAGAGACTGCCACTGCTACATTGGACTTAACTGTCATAGCAGACATTGTTCACCAAATCAGCAGCACAGTTCCAGCCTCTCAGGGGGAGGGGTCTCCCCTCCCCAGTTGGGGCCTGGAACCCACATGGAGAAACGTCTGTCTGAGACTGGAGTTCTGAGTATTAATTAGGACATGGTGAGTTAATGTAATAACTATCTGCAACAAAAGTTGCAAGTAATAGCTAAGATAGAAGGGGACACAAGTAATAAGTAATCATCAGCTGAAAACCAAAAAAATTTTGAGTGTCACGCTGTTCTGAACACATGGTATTTCACACAGTGTAGCTTATTTCTAAACCTCATGTCTCCATTATCCTCACGCATACCCTCACAACATTGCCAGCATTCATAAAATGAATAGAAAATATTTAATAATACAATCGCTGTTTATTCGGTCTTGGCTCCTCTCTGCTACTGTTGTAAGCATGACAATGGGATGCAATTATGTCTATTCACTTTTTGGTGCTTTCTACTGTTCTAGTCTTAGTTAAGTCAGATCAGACAAATGGTGAACTGGTGAATGGAATTATATTCATAATACCATGTGAAAATACATGTTTGTGGAATCTTTTTTTTTTTAAACACCAGTGCAATTTTCATTCTCCTCTCCAATGTTTAAATAGCATCTGTAAATGTTACCTTTGTGCAGTTTATTTCCGGGTTATTCGTCATTACTTCCAAAGTAGTATACATTTTCTGCATTTTTGCTTTGAGGAAAAGCAGCTGGTTCGTATAGTTATGTGAATTGTTATTGCTTTGAAAAAAAACCCAGCATGTTTTGATTATGGCTTATGATATACCATGTTAAGAATTAATAAGGTTTGGGAACATTATTTTTAGAACAGAAAGAGAAGTGTACGGCAAGGATATTTACTGTCACCTGATTTAATATCATGATACAGCTAATATATAATAGGATCTTGAGGGTTTGGGGGGGGGGGGGGGGGGGGGGGGGGGCAATATAAATAACCTATGCTATACTGATGACACAGTCTTAATAGCAACTAGTCAAAAATAATTCAATAATTGATAAATACAGGGGTTGTAGAAAGTGAACAAATGGGGCTCAGCTTGAATGAAGAATATGCTTTAATGCAGTTAGAGTCAGTAGTTTTCCTAGGACAAGTACATAGAATATCTGGGCACATGTATAACATCAGATGGAAGATGTTTCACAAAGATAAAGAACATAATCGGACAGGGCAAACACAGCATTTGATAAAATAAAGAGCATTTTATGCAGTATCCCTGTCTAGGAATATTAGAAAAAGAATGATTGCAAGCTACGTAGAGATAATTTTAACATATAGATATAAATAAGTCAAGACTATGATGTAAAGTGTTTGCAAGTAGGACAAGAATGATACAGGTATTGATGGGGATTCATAGGGACAGGTTGCCATGGATCATGCTGCATGGAGGGCGAAGATTAGGAAGAGAATGAAAAACGAAGGAGAAAAAGATTGCAGACAGGTTGAGAACTGAACCTTTGAGAAGAAACAACAAGACAGATACATTTGATGGCATCAGTGGTCCTGAAATCCCATACACTTATTGTGAAAGATGTTTCCTAACAGGAGCTGGTCTTGCTAGTCACACTTGCCATCGGCTTGGGTGAACTAGGTTTTGGATGATGCAGGCAGAAGACACACATGTGTGCATGCTTGCAAATACTTGGCGAGGAGATGAGTGGCTGAACAATTATCAGGCTTGTGTAGGGTTCAAATCACACTGGGCCGGAGTGCAGGGACTAGTGCGCGGAGTGCAGGGACTAGTGTGCGGAGTGCGGGCACTGCTGAATCGGAAGTACCATTGATTCATGATAATTTCCACCCATGTGTTGTGATTATTTATACTGATGGCTCTGTGTTGAGGGTTCGTAGCAAATGCGAATGGACGTTCCTTAGCGCAGCAAAGCCTGGCATATATCAAAATATCTAGTTTTAGAATGGACATAGAGGCAGTCACTGCACCTTTCTGTTCACTTGAGAACTAAATGCACACATGATTGTAACTGACTCACAAAGCATGCTGAGAAAGGGGGAGAAAGATATGTTTCGTGCAGAGTGGCAAGTATCATTTTAGAAGTCCTAGTAGTTAGCATCCCGTGGATATTTTCTCCGGTAAATGTAGGTGTTTAGGGAAACAGATAGGCAGACATACTGGCTGGTTATGCACCTTTTGTGATCAAGTGAATAAAGTGGAGGCACAAGTAGATCATCACGGTCTGAGGAGAATGGTGCAACAGGAGGTGACCTGGGGATCTGGATGACCCTCCACACTCAGAAGAGAGGCAAGGCAGGCATACAATCAGACTGCTACTGACACTATCACAGTTGGAACTCTCACTGGCTGCTGAAGAAGGGGACAAATCACTCATGGGAATGTACCAAATGCTTGAAACTTAACTTGCCACCATCATGGGCTTTGATTCCTAACCCCCCTACCCCGCACCCCTAAGCACAACCCACCAACCACAGTGAATATGCTATAATGAATTTATGTATTTGTACAGGGACATTTTAATGTCAGAAATACATGTTTCTGTATTTGTTTCATTAACAGAGGCACCAGATTTGAGCACTACATGACTATCATGCAGAGCCTGCGCAAGCGGCTTAGCTTTCGTAAGAAAAAAGACCATGTCCCTGAATGTTCAAAGCCACACCAGTGGCAGGAAGATGAGAAAAAAGTACGGGAAGGAACCTGCAGCTTTCAAGTTAAGGTCAGCGTTTATGCCCAGCAGTTGTTTATATATATATATATTTCTATATATATATATTTCTATATATATATATATATATTTCTAAATCTAGGTGTTGTGTGTGTGTATATGTATGGGTGTGTGCATGTGAGGGTCGGGGTAGCAGAATGGGTGCCACATGAAGCTTTCAAGTTGAGGTCAGTAATTATGCCCAGAAGTTGTTATATATTTTTTTAATCGAAGTGTTGTGTGTGCACGCAGGGGACCACATGCAGTTTTCAAATTAGGGTTAGTGTTTATGACCAGTAGCTATATTTTTCTGGTTTTTAAAAAAAATCTCAGAGTTGTTTGTACATAATTTTTAAAATTGTTCTTTTTGAGTTTCAAACTCTGGATCATCTGAAACACAGAATTTGTTGAAAACATTTATTTCTTTATTTTGGGCTTAGAAAAGAGGAGATGTATACACGGAAAATACGCCGTATTTGTGTGTGTGAAAACACGCTCATGCATACATGTGTGTGGGGCATGGGCAGTCGAGGTTGTTGTTGTGTGTTCATGCTTGTGTGAGGGTAAGAGTGTGAAAGAGAAAAAGAGAGTATGCGTAGGAGTCTGTAAGGATTTTCCGTAGTTAGCTATTTTAGTTCCAGTTATTTCTTTGGTTTAAATTTTAAGGAATGACAGAATACAGCGCTGGGACAAAAGCAGTTAGAATAGCAGCGATTAAGACAGGAAAGGAATGAATAATGATACTGAAAAGATCCACTGACTCATAACTAGCATCTTGTAAAAGGTGACTAAATAGGGGTCTTTTTCTTTAAAGTCGGAGTGCCTCTATCTGAGAGGCGAGGAACCAACAGTCTGCACACAAGTAAGCCTCATCTGTAAAATAGATGTGCAGGTAAAACTCAAGATCAGGGAACAAGACTACAGTCCAGGAGTGGATGGATGAACAACCAGAAGTTTACAGCCGGTGTATGGTAAAAAGAGGAGGAAATACAGAAAGGGATAAGTAAGGCATACCAGAAGTGCTAACCCATAAAAAGCATTGGGGAACTAAGCCCTCTTACAGATTTTCTAGAGTGGCAAGCCTCAAGGGCCCTAAGCTTTGTTTAAGTGCCTAATTATAATGTATTGAATGAAAGGAGGACAGGTTAGTGGCAGCTCTGGATTTTATTTGAAGACAGCTGTTGAAATGGTTTGCCAGGGATGCCAGCAAAGGGTATACCACAGCAAGCAGAGATCTACAGAGCAGGCAGGAGGTGAAGAAGAGGCTGACTATGCAAGCGATGGACAGAGGAGGCATCAGAGTCCCTTGGAATCCCCATTGACTTAGTACGCAGACAGACACTTTCCAGTAAATTGATACCTCACCGCGACACGGCAAGGTACCAGAGGATCAAAATGAGATGAAAAGGTTCCCATTTAAGACTGGGTCAACCTGGGAGCTGAGGCCGTGTTTAAAAAAAAAAAAAGTACCCGGCACCATGCAGATTTAAACTCAGGGCCTTTTGGATCTGCAGGTGAGTATCTAGCCACCACACTGTGGTGGATTCCATTTGCAGGTCCTGGCACCAAGCTAAAGTTGGACAAACAGCCAGTATTTTCCCACCAGAGTCCACAGCCAGTGAGCAAACATTAAAGATACATGTTTCGGGGAGGGGGGGGGGGGGGCAAAATAAATAGCTGAAATATCTTTTCAGGGTGTTTTCCCACACCACTCTTTCATTTTACATTGGACGGGGGGGGGGGGGGGGGGGGGGGGAAGCTCAAGGTTCCTGAGCCCTCAGGTTCTGGCTGCCATGATGTATACCATGTTACCAAGGAAGCTATTGTGTGTTTCCCTGTGCTTAAAGAGCTAAACACTGATTTGTCTAAGTGTCTTTTTGTTTTTCGACAGTATTTGGGCTACATTGAAGTTTTCGACTCCAGGGGAATGCACATCTGTGAGGAGGCGGTGAAGACGCTAAAATCTGTGAGTTAAAAAAAATTTTTTTGTTTGTTTTATTAATTGTCTCCCCCTCTGTTACTGCCTATTCTGAGGTTTAAGAATCTCTCTCTGGAATATCTGCCCTCCCTAATAGCTTAATTTCTTTTTCATTATCTCACTCTTCTTCTGCTGTGTTATTTTCTGTCTCTACACTCCCCTTCCTCTTTCATTTCTTCCCTCTTCTTCATTCTACTCTATCTCCTCCTACCCTTACCCTCTGACTTTGCCTCTGTCTTCTCTATCTCCCCTGTCACCTTTCTTTCACATTATTACTTCCTCATCAGCTATCCCCTTTCCTCTCATTTTCATCCTCTCTAAATTTCTTTATCTATTTCCTTTCCATTTCTCACACCTTTCTCTCTTTCTCCGCTCCATCTTTCTCTCTTTCCCCCACTACTTTATTATTCTCACCCTGTGCATATGTGAGAGGGTTATTTCATTTTGTTTGGAGTTCAGGTTCTGTCCCGTTGTCATAATGTACATACATATAAACAGGCATATTGTTGTGAGGCAGACATATTATAACTGTGTGAAAAACAGAACTTAGTAACGACTGTTAAGATTGATGGAAAAAAAGAATAAGGGAATGGCATAGAGATAAATGTCTGGATAGCTTAGCCATATGGATGTGGGGGCTAGACAAGTACACTGACCTAATCTGTGATTCTGGAGATTGTGTGGGATGGCAAAACTTGACAGGCTGCACTTGTCAGCACAGCACAGCACATGATGATGATGACAAATCATCTACAAGTGCCTGTTTATTTATTATTCAGCTCACAGATAGATTGTTAACACTGGTCTGTTATAGTTCTGATCAATAGCACAGTTTGTTGTAGATACTGCGCCTGATGCTGAATTGATTTTCACAAGGGAAAACACCTTGGGAATCCCTGGGAATTCCAGTATTGATCAGAGAGTGTTGGTAATTTGGGTTATATTACTCACTGCACTCTTTGTAAGGTCTTTTATTCTTATTGGGGCTTTGTATTCTGATAAAAGGGATGGTCCCATGAGTTAGCTGGTATTCTTTTTTTTTTTCTGTGTCCTTCATTTCTGCTCATGAATATAGAGTAAATGAAAACTCTTGTAAAGTGGTACATTCAGCATGTAAACATTATGTCTTCCTTTTGTCTTTTAAACACCTTGGTCAGGGGAGGGGGGTCTCTGGCAAAGTGGTCATACATTGAAAGTCATGGGTTCACTTTAGAGATGCAGTTAAAAAACCTAACAACTGTTTGAGACACACATTTATGTTTTGTGAGGGTCCTGTTTTTCTCCTCTTTATATTTTTTCTTGTTATTTTCCTTCAGTAACATTTACAGGTCACACTGTGCTCATTAATTACTTTTATTGTTCATCAAGCGAACTCTTGCAGAAATCTGGCCATATTTCTGCTTCATAATGTTAATGGGTCTGCCCGTTTTATAGTTAGAATGGTGAGTCACCTCACAAGGTGGCTTTGATATGTAGATGAGTGAAAGAGAACAGCCACGTGCTGGGTCTGATGTGGTGATTGATTATCAGAAACTGGTCTGTGGATTCCCATTTGCTGGAATGTGTTTTCTTTTTTAAGCTGGCCAGGTCATTGTTGACACTGAGTCGGGTGTGAGTAAGCGCGGCTTTGTGATTGCCTAGGTGAATAAGTTATTCATGAAAACATCAAGTGGTACTCCCAGGGTTATTGATAGCTAACTCCCCCACTGAATGTCTTTTGTCCCTGTGTGCGTCCCCGGGGGCCTATTAGGGAGAACAAAGAATAGGCCAACCACCTTTTAAGCATTTCGTAAAAGGCGACCGATTTAGACTTTCCTGAAATTTTATGTGCAGGGCTGGAAGGGGCACATATTGTAGCCTAGCTGCAAACCTCAACACAGCATGCCAACCACCCTTTTAAGGGCGAAAGTGGAAGAAAAGTTCTTTTTTACTGTATGTCAGGTTGGTGTAGAAGACTGGCACCTGTCTTTCTGTCTGTACCTTTACCATTAGGTTCAAAACCAGTTGGGGACAATTAGAAACCTTAGTTGGGCAGTTAGAAATGTATTGATGTCATTTTACCCTCACTTCCCTGCTGAATATCTGTTTTTTTGTTATTAATTTTTTTTTTTTAATTTTGCTGTATGTCAGGTTAGCTTTAAAGATTGTCACCTGTCTGTACCTTGACTTTTATGGGTTGGATCCAAAATATAATTTGATAGCTGGGGGGATCATTGCTGGCGCTGCAGAGTTTGTACTTTGTGGGATGCTATCAGCAGGTGGCTAGCTGTTTATATAATGAAGTCGATCTTCTTGACTCAAGTTTAAAGCTTAGACACGGTAGCTCCAGTTTGTTTCAAATATGTATATTGTCATCTTCAGCAATGTAAGGGCAAGTACCAGAGAGCAGTACTTTATGTCTCCGGAGATGCCATTCGAGTCGTGGATGAGATCAGCAAGGTAAGAATTTGACTGCAGACTTGGTTTTCGGGAGGGGAGGGGGGTATGGAGGAGGTTTTAAATTTAAAGGGTCACTTATATGCACAATTTTTGTTTCGAGAAAATCACATCAACTATCTAATTGGTGTGAGGTAATTTCTCTATTTTGACCTATTTGGAGTGGAAATTCACACGTGTGTGCCTTTGGGATATTGTAAAGTGACAAATAAAAGCTCTGAAAATTCACTTAGGTGAAAATCGCCTAAATTGCACTAAGCTAATTTTGGCCTAGTGTCACAAGTATTATTCACATGTTACTTTTTATTTATTCTTATCTCCAGATTCAACTGTAGTGTGTTGCGTGAATGGTCTTGAAATGTATTCTTTGATAAAATATCATTATATATCTTAAATTAGCAAGGTTTTGTTCATCTATGTAGGCATTAAAAGCTTTTGTAAATTATCATGTCAGTTGTATATATTTCTCATTCATGTTTTGCTTTATTGTGAATGACAGTTTTATGTTGTCTCTTTCTTTCCCCTCTTCCTCTTACCCTTCCTCTTCATCTAGTGCTTCCTTTATCTCCCTATATCCAGCCTGAAATCACCACACTATAAGCCTCTTGGAAGCTGCAGTAGTGTAGTGGCTAGAAGCTCGATTCAAAAACAAAAGTCAAGGGTTTAAATCTGCATAAAAGAATATTTTTTTTCAAAATTGACCTTGGCTCCCAGATTGACCCAGCCTAAAATTTACCATGTAAAATCTTGGGAAGTAAAGGCAGCCAGCATGATGTTGAACGATGTAGAAATAAGAAGAAACATCACACTGAGGACAGCAGGGGACACCAGGGTTGCCCTTGGTTTAGCTGACAGGGTGTCTTCCTATTTCTTGTTTTCCCTGCCAGTGATTTTCAGCTGAGAAAGCCACAGGCTTCCACATATATATATGCCATGTGATCTAAAGATTTGAAAAGGATCCTTCATCTTGCTAAACATTTTCGCTTTTTTTTTCTTCCAATTTAAGTTACCTGTTTTCACTGCCCTTTCTTTTAGCCTCTGCATCATTTGCATATTCTTTACTTGAATTGTGGGAGCTGCCATAACACAGTGTCTGTATGCATGTAGATGTTTGCCCCCTGGCCCCCCAAGGTGACTTGAATCCACATCAAGGCAGATATTTTATAGGTGACCTTGGTGGGGTTGGTGCACTCCCCCCCCCCTCCCCCCACACGTAACAGCTATACCAAGGACAACCCTGGTGTCACCTGTGTGTATTGGGATGTTTTTTCTCATTTCTACCAAGGAGATAAGCTATATTCTTGACTTTATACACATTCTGTGCATTTGATGTTTTATTTTTATCCTAGAGCATGATTGTAGACCAGACTATAGAAAAGGTGTCTTTCTGTGCACCTGATCGCAGCCACGAAAAGGGCTTTGCATATATTTGTAGAGATGGGACAACTAGAAGATGGATGTGCCATGGTTTCCTAGCAACTAAAGAGTCAGTAAGTGTCAGTATTTTTAGTCACAGACCAGTCCCACATGTTGCCTACTTCTGGTTTTACTAGGCACTTTTACATTCACTAGTTTGCTTACAGAAACGTCAACACTATAGTCATTGTCAAAATCGACACATGACACCTGCTGAATTAAACTAGATTTTTTTTTTTCTGAACCACATTCATAAACTCTAGACCACAGACAGCAACAGTATTATTAAAGTTCACATTATCCATCAGTTGTTTTTGAGTCTTCTTCTACCTTAATTTAGACACATAATTGTAACTGACACACAGAGCATGTTGTTAAAGGTGAAGACAGGCATGCTCTGTGCAGAGTGGCAAGCATCACTTTAGATGTCCATTTTGATATGTTGTCCAGGGAATGATGGTTTGTTGGGAAATGATCAGGCAGACAGACTAGCCATTGTGCATCGCTTGGTGGTGAACTAATATATGACAAACTGGATGTTGTGAGGGCTCTTTGGGAGCCAACAGTGAGGAGGCACAGATCAATCATTATGGTCTGGGGAGAATGGAGCTGCAAGGAGTTACAAGGGGATCTGGCTGGCGCTCAACACTCAGGGGAAAGGTGAGACGGATATACTGTCAGACAGTTACTGGTGCCATCGAAATTGGAACTCTTCACTTGCTGCTGAAGATGGGGACTGAGCGCTTATGGGGGTGTTCTGTGTTGTCGATTCTTAATTCAGCATTCTACCTTAATTTGTTTTAAAGTATAATTATATACTCACATTGTTTTAATATACTGAAACAAAGCTAGTTGAGCATCTCGGTTGGACTCTTTCATTGCTGACTGCTTGATGTTAAGGCCCTAATGAAATTTTCCTAGGATGCGAACTGAATTTGACATTCAACCTGCAGACAGTTTACAGTGTTTATATTCTTCATTTTCACTTTGAGCCTTTGTAACCTGTAGTTGGCACCTTTCTATCTTTCCAGATGATAGTGTTGTGTTATGTAATTGGGAGACATGAGAATCACAGTGACAAGTGTGACTGGGAAGACCCGCTGGCATTAAGAAAAGTCCTTAACACAAAGCAGTATTGTAGAGACCGCGCATGCAGCACGATCCATCTCTCTGCCTGCTTTGTTTACTTCAGAGGAAAAGTAACACCAATATGTTTGGAACAATGCATGCTACAGAAGCTGCTAGATCAGAAGAGCAGTGCTGTGCCACCTGTCGGAGTTTACATCCTTGACCATCTGCCAACCAAGGCTTAGGGCCTTGTCTGCTGTGCAATAAAATTAACTTTTCAGGTTGCCTTTCCCCTTTCTATGATAAGGCTGATGTTCTCCCCAGTGTGCTCCTCCTCTGTTTACACTCACACTACGAGATGTCACGTGTGGTTTACATTGAACTTAACACATAGTTGGGGGTATAATCTGTTAGCCTCATAATTTTTAGACCAGTTGGCACTCAGTGGGTGAAGAAGTATCTTGATTGATGTTTGACAGCTGTTGGTATGGTGAAGGGTTAAACCATGCAGTGGGATGGGCTGCTCTTAATTTTTAGACCAGTTGGCACTTAGTGGGCGATGAAGTATTTTGATTAATGTTTGACAGTTTTTGCCTTGGTGAATGGTTAAGCCATGCAGTGAGACGTACAGCTCATAATTTTTAGACCAGTTGACTATCAGTGGGTGATGAACTATTTTGACTGATGTTTGTCAACCGTTGCCAGGGTGAGCGGTTAAGCCATGCAGTGGGATGTGCTTTTGCAATCTGTCTGGAGAAGAAGCAGAAGAGGGACAAGGAGACAGGGGTGACCGTCACCTTCAACCAATCACGGACAAGTTTTGAACGCACAGGCTCATTCAGGCAAACCACCCTGACAGAGAAAATTTTTGACCCACAGAGTGCTATTGTGGCTGGTAAGTGCGTGTGTATGTATGTATATATTTGTATACATTGTCATTTCTACCTTTATTTACCACTTTTACGGTGAGGGGGGGGGGGTGTCTTTAAACTTTAGGATTTTTTAGGCTAGTGCTGTTGCAGAAAAAAATCCAAAACCTTGCCAGGGTCTCGCTTGAGAGCACAGCGTTCTAACCATTTGCTTGGCGGCTCCTTGGCAGGTAAAGAAGAGTAAAAATTTAAACAACATGTCGTGACTCACTTATTTCTGTGGGTCCATGGAGTTCCCGGTCAAGGGTCACCTGCTCGTTTTTTGTCTGTGGGTCCATGCTGGTCCTGGTTAAGGGTCACCTCCTTTATGTCTGTGGGTCCATGCAATTCTCGGTCAAGGGTCACTTCCTTCCCAATCCTAGCTCTCATACCGCCAGTTTCCCCTACGAATAACTACAGCAGTCATAGCTCACATCTCTGCAGTTTAATCAGTGTACTTACACAGTTTCGAACACAACTGTTTACACTCTTTCTCCTAGAATTACACTGCCCATTTGTCTAATCGCTCTCCTAAGATTGCCATCAACCAACAGTCCCCCCTATCTTTAGCCAAACCCCAAGTCTACCTGTTGACCTCTAGGCACATCAAAGTCTGTGATTCTCTTCTTTCATGATTCCAGTCCAGTCCGTAGTGTCACAGTTGACTGCTTTTCTGTCCTTAAGTCTACCTAATGGCCACTTTTTCTAAATGCACTAACATCCTGGCCCGACCTTTTTCATGTCTTTGATTCAGTGGGCATATGGTGCCAGACCCATAACTCTGTAGACCAGTCAACATTCATTTAGTGATGTGGTCAACATTATGCCAATCACCTTTACATTTGTTTATTTTAGCACATTTTCTGGTACCCAGTTTAGTTGGTCTGGTTTTAATTGGCAAAGGGATGGGCAGATTGTAGGGTGACCTGTTTGCTATGAAGTTGGAACTGCAGTTGAGTTGCCTGAATATTTGACTAAGTATGCTACAGCATCACTTACACTGGTTATGGATACAAATATGTCTGCCTTTCTGACAGAACCTTCATACTTGTCATGTCTGTCCTGATGTTGTAGAGCCTGTACCAATGAGAGCAGCCAGCAACCCGTATGCAGTGCAGCGACCCCATGCCACTGCCAACCTGTTAGAGCGCCAGGGCTCATTCCGAGGCTTCCAGAAGCTTCAGGAGATCTCTTCACCTTTCAAGAGGACATTGTCACTTCGATTGAATGAGCTGCCGTCTACCTTGCAAAGACAGAATGCTGTCACGGTGTCACCCACACAGAATGGACATGGTGGTGAGAATTGTGTTTCTGTGGATCTCTTGTTATCTTCAAAATAGAGAAATGCTATAACTCTCTTGCCAGTCTGTCATCATCAAAGTGAATTGCTGTGATTCTTTTGTCAGTCTGTCATCACAAAGAATTGTTATCTCTTATCTGTCATCACAAAGAATTGTTATCTCTTATCTGTCATCACAAAGAATTGTTATCTCTTATCTGTCATCACAAAGAATTGTTATCTCTTATCTGTCATCACAAAGAATTGTTATCTCTTATCTGTCATCATCACAGAGAATTGCTATCTCTTATCTGTCATCATCACAGAGAATTGCTATCTCTTATCTGTCATCATCACAGAGAATTGCTATCTCTTATCTGTCATCATCACAGAGAATTGCTATCTCTTATCTGTCATCATCACAGAGAATTGCTATCTCTTATCTGTCATCATCACAGAGAATTGCTATCTCTTATCTGTCATCATCACAAAGAATTGTTATCTCTTATCTGTCATCATCACAGAGAATTGCTATCTCTTATCTGTCATCATCACAGAGAATTGCTATCTCTTATCTGTCATCATCACAAAGAATTGCTATCTCTTATCAGTCATCATCACAAAGAATTGCTATCTCTTATCAGTCATCATCACAAAGAATTGTTATCTCTTATCTGTCATCATCACAGAGAATTGCTATCTCTTATCAGTCATCATCACAAAGAATTGTTATCTCTTATCTGTCATCATCACAGAGAATTGCTATCTCTTATCTGTCATCATCACAGAGAATTGCTATCTCTTATCTGTCATCATCACAGACAATTCTATGACTCTCTTATCAGTCTGTCTGGATCACATAGCATACATATACCCCAGATTTGTGATACCAATGCATTACGCAAAACTCAGGTCGTGGAACAAAGCCAAAGAATTTTCTGCCAGAGTTTAGAGCCAGTGAACACACATAAACAAACAACAATCATGTTATAAAAACTGACTAATTAAGAGCTTGCTGAAATCAGATTTGTTGGGCCAAAGTGCGCAAATAATGCAGCCTAGCTGTAAACAACCCAACACAGCATGCGGACTGCCTTTTTAAAGGTGAACATCAGAAGATGAAGAGGAGGATAAAGAAGAAGATGAAATAAAATAATTATGAAAGATTTTCGCAGGCCACTTTCTGTTCAGGATAAGCTGCTGGGTGATTGTGATGATTCCCCTCAAGTGGGTTCTGGGACTTTGTTTGTTTGAGGAAAATAGAATAGACCCACTGCTCCATAAAAAGCAAGTTGTAAAAACTGACTAATTATGGATGTTTCCTTTGAAGTCGGAGTGCATCTGCCTGAGAGGCAAGGAACCAACAATCTGCATACAAATAAGCTGGTGTTTGGTGGTTTATAAAACGATTGTTTTGGGCTTTCAGATAGTGAGGTGAGAGTCCTACTAAAGTAGAGATTGGGTCCTTGTTATGTAATATTCTCAAAGTGGTGAAAGCACCAAATTTTTGTGTGTTTAAAAATTAGTGTCACACAGGCATAATAGTTGCATGTATATGTAACACAACTAATTTAATTTGTAATTTGCCTGCAGTGCCACAGTTTTATTCCTGTTATTCACACAACTAATTTAATGTCGTAATCTGCCATTTCATCAGTTGCAAGAACCATCCCTGCAGTGTCAGAGTTTCCTTGGTATTGTGTCACACAACTATTTTAGTATAATAATCTGTCATTTCATAAGTTGCTGCAACTATCCCTGCAGTATTTCATTTATGTTGTGTCACACAACTCATTAAATGTTGTAATCTGTCATTTCAACCATCAGTTACTTCAACCATCCACGAAGTGTCCCAGGAACAAGAAGATTCTATAGCACAGATGTGCCAACAGTTGACGCAAGGCTTAACAGCACTTACCTCTGAGGACCCTTTTGCAGCTGTTCCCAACCAAGGGAGTGTCCGGACACACACACTTGTACACCAGAGTTCTCTCCCCACTCCTTCAAGCACCCAAGCAGTGCTGACAAGGCAGCAGACCTTACCAGGTTCACAGAGTAAGTAATAATATGTTATATCAGTGTAAACCCGTGTAGATTCCGGGGCCTATTATAGAGAAAACAAGAATAGACCCACTGCCTACCCAAATGCATGTTGTAAGAGTCTACTAGTTGGGAGCTTCCTTGAAGTTGGAGTGCATCTGCCTGAGAGGCAAGGAACCAACAATCTGCATACAAATTAGTCATATCTGTCAAACTGATACACATGCACCACTCAGGTTCTGGAGCAGGACTGCAGTCCAGAAATGGACGAACAACCAGAACTTTTCTTCCCTGGAATTTACAGCCGATGAATGCAAAGAAGAAGAAGTGTAAACCAAGAAGACGAAAAACATCGACATCCCACATGATCTGAGCATTGATGAGAATTGGCCTGTCAACAGCATCCTGTCCTGAAAGCTGAGGTATTTTGGCCATGATATTTGAAGCATCACGGTGGCCTGGAGGAAACAGTGATGAAGGGTGCAGTTTCTGGAAAGTTAATCAGGTAGACTTCCGCGGCGGGTACAAGACATTGGCTGTGAAAGCACATAGGGTTGGAGGATTGGCTAGAGGAAGAGAGACTTTCAGGAGTGCCGTGGCTGGAGCGACGCTCTGTAAAGGACCTGCTGATACATCATGAAATCAGTATAAAGGAAGCTATAGCAGCGCAGCAGCTACATACTCACCTGTTGGCCTGAGTGTCTTAGGTTCAGATCTGCATCAAGGTAGATGGTTGTAGTTTTTTTGGGTTTTTTTCTCTCCAAAATTGACCTTTGCTCCCTGGTTGACCCAGTCTAAAATGGACATCAGGTAATACCAGCAGATTGAAGAGAAGGATATCTTGTGAAACTGCAGGAATGGGACAGCTGCAGAGGAATTATGTTGCTGTCTGTTTCCAGAAGAAATTTAAAAAGGATTATTCTGGAAAGACTAAAGATACCATTGATAAACAGCTAAGAGATCAACAGGCAGGTTTTTGGCCAAGTACTGACCAGATAGCCACACTATGCATAATAATAAAGCAAAGTATCAAACTGAATTCACCACTTTACATTCTGTTTGTAGGCTGAGAAAGCTTTTGATTGCATTTGAAAAGGAATCTCACTGGAAATTGATAAAGCTTTATGCGAACCCACAGAAAAAAATTAACTTAGTGAAAGCAACATATGAAGACATGAAATGTCCAGTTCTTCTTGAGGCAAAACTCACAGATACATTTGAAATAACAACAACTTTACGACAGGGATGTCTATTATCGATTCTGCTATATTTACTAGCAGTAGACTGGATTATGAATTACGGCAACAACTACCACCAGAAATGAAGCTCACGGAATCAGACGCAAGATAAATTAAACATACTTAGTATGAGATGCTTGAAAGAAGCTAATGAAAGTAGATCTCTATATACAATAATAAGAAAGAGACAAACAATGTTATTTGGCCACATAGTGAGAAGAGAGACATTGGAGAACATTGTGACAGCTGGAAAGATCAGTGGAATAAAGGGAGTGAGGCAGACCAAGAGAGATGATGTTGGATGGGCTAAACGATAGCATGGAGGGATATCATCAAGAGAGCTGTTCCAGGCAACCAGGGATTGTGATCTGTGGAGATGCATGAGCGCCTACGCCAGTTGGCTGGGCACATGATGATGATGAGTATGAGATCACGACGGTTTATCTTAAAATGGATTAGGGAATGACAAAGATAATGAGAATAAACCATGCAAACTCTGCCGGAGTTTATAGCTGGTGACGACTAAGAAAAAGTAGTTAGATTTTCCCAGCAGGTTTCTCTGGCTATGCTGGTTATTCACAGCAGTAATTACGGGTTAAACTCTCATTCTCATTTGGATTCACACTTGCCACTTTTGAGGCTTGTGTAATACCTTCCTCCTTCATTTATCTCAAAAGTTTTCTTTGATGCCTCTGAACTCTTTATAATCTGTCAGCATTGCAAGGTACATTAATATCACCATCATCATCATCATGTACAATAATGAAAAGTGTAGGCCAGAGTCATTCCAAATAAGTTTAATCAGGTGCCAAAATGTTTAAAACAGGAGTCATTACCGGCCAGTGGCCTGAACCCCACTGTAGAAAGATATCTGTTTTGGCAGTGATTGGTAGGTCATTTGTAAGGCCTGTGAGAGCTGGATCCAACCCATGGGCTGCCATCTGAATAGCCCTAATATAGGCAATCTTGGTTCACCATCCCACATAATCACTGAATCAAGGTAGTGCTCATCCATGTGGTCGAGCCATTCACTTATTTATCTCTGCATTCCCATGTTCTTGTCACAATCCTGAACCTACCAGGGAGAAATGAGAGTCACACCATGGAAGAGGTTAGGATGTTACCACACAATTCTTCAAAAGACAAAAGTGGACAAGCTTATTTACTGTAGCCAGCCTACATTGTAAAAAACAGTGGTGGTCTGAAAGGATGTTGAGGAAAGAAAAGTTGCGAACTAGCTCAGTCTCTGACAAGATAGCCCTGACCAAACTAGAGATGATCCATGAGGAAAACATCCGGAGGTTAAGGACAGGAGGAACACATTGGGACACAGAAAAGGAAGGAGCAGTCTAACTATTTGGTTAGGGACCTAAAGCCAGAGAATTGGCGCACATACCACTATCTTAGCTGTTCAAGTAGTGCAGATAAACCAGACCACAAATATAACCATAGATTGTTGGCAGCTTCACTGCCAACAGCAGGTTGAATGTGGTCGAGTTTAAAAAAAAAAATAGAATAGACGACTAGATTGTGGAAACAACACCAAATAATTTTTTTTAAAATCTCACACTGATGTGACAGGTTTGTGCATTATATATGACATCACAAACATAATAATTAAACATTTTGCTTATTAAAATTGCCAGTTGTCATTTTCATAAATGTTACTGTTACTTACTGCATAACAATGTCAGACGCAGTTTTTGTTTGTGTGTTTTAAAGCCCCACCCTGGATGTTGCCGGGGACCTAATATAACCCAGCCTGTGGGTTGAACAGGGTGTCTGGGACCTGTTCCCGGGTTATCCTTGTCTGAATAGTGGCATTTTGTGTCACCAGGTGTAATATCCTGGCGGGTTGAACATCACTCAGTCTTCATAAATATTTTATATATATATATATATATTTTAAATCTTAGCTTTCCAGCCAGCCAGCCAAGCAGTGACAAACCCATGGGTCAGTGGCACCAACAGCTCCCAGCTCAACCACACCACCTACAGAGCATCGACGGCCCATTCTGCAGTGACCAAACCGACCACCACACAGAGCAGCAACCCCTTTTCTGCAGCTGCCCCATCTAACCCTTCCCTAACCATGCTTAACGGATCTCGACAAACAGTTCATCCATCAGCGCAAAGCTCACACAGCCAGCAGCAGCAGCTTCATCAGAAGTTTCAGAATACCATCACTCATTTCCGCAGCCCTTTTACAGACACTGATACCACAGTGGATACAAACTGGCAGCAGACCAGTCAGGGTTTTAAACCACACGGCATCCAGAACGGCACTGTGGGATCCGCATCAGCAGTTTCCAGTTCCTCAAACTCTTGGCCTCTCAAAGCACCCTCAGGTCCTCCCACCACAACCCAGACATCTGTGATTGACCCTTTCGATGTGGCCTGGGCGGAAAGATCCATCAACACATCAGACCTGAATCCCTTTGGAACAAAGTCAATGAAGCAGTTTGAAGTACATTTGTAGTATCAGGATCTCAGTGGATTATTGAATGAAGAAATATGTTGTTTATAATTGCACACTGCTCACCATTGTTTTCTTTTCTTGGTGTGGCATTTGTACATAACTTTCAAACTGATCACACATGGAATCATTTGTATGATGACTAAGATTCTGTCTTTAGTAGTGGTAAGAAGAAGACGCTGCCAGTCCTAGGGGTTTTGATGTGATAGTCCTTTCTTTATACTAGATCAGTGTTCTTCAACCTGTGGTCTGCAGCCCACTGTTGGGCCATGGAAATGTCCAGATGGGCCGCCAAAAAATTATGCTTAATCATATAACAAGGTAGAGTAGGTATTTTCCCCCCTTGTCTTCCAGTCTATAGGATTAACAACTCAGTGATGTCCTATTGATGTGAAAAAGACTTTCTGAGGCATGTCAGTAATTAAAAACCAAACAGAGAACGCACATGGATGTTAATGTAACACTTCTTCGTCTTCTGCCTTTCTAACCCCCAATGGAGCAAAGGCTCTCAACCAGTTCACGCCAGCTGGTTCTCTCCTTCGCTATCGCAGGCAGCTCTCTCCATCTTTAACTTTACTCTCTGGCTTCCTTCTCCATTTGAGTTTTTTGGTTTTCCTTTATTCCTATGCCCCTGTGGGTTCCAGTGCAAAGACATTCTAGTTATATTGTTTTCGGGTTTTCTCAGCATGTGTCCTATTCAACACCAGTGTCTTTTCTTCACCTCGTCATTCAGTTTAGTTCTCAACAGCTAAGTGACTTCCTGTTTATGTGAAAAGACTTTCTAAGGCATGTCAGTTAATAAAAACCAAAGGGAGAAAGTAAATCGATGTTAATGTACCACTTAGTCTATCAGAAACAACACTCCAGCGAAATCTGTCAGATTTTTTTTTAAACATCTAAGCAGAAGCAGATGACACCTGAGCTGAAAAATTAAAAAGTTGGGATCTGGGATTCAACAAATTAGCTGCTGTCTGATATGTTTATGTTTCATGTTTGGTTAGCTGGGTCATGAAACAGTTTGTGTTGTTTTGGTGGGCCACAAGTGTTGTGATCTTGGATTCAACAAATGAGCTGCTGCTGTCTAATGTTGTTTGCGTTCATGGGCTGTAAACTCCGGTGGAAAGACCTGGTTGTTCGTCCATTTCTGGACTTTGGTTTTGTTTCAAGACCTGAGTTTTGCATGTGCATCTGTTTTACAGATCTTGCTTATTTGTATGCAAAGTGTTTGTTTCTTGCCTCTCAGGCAGATGCACTCTGACTTCAAAAGGAAGCCCCCAGTTAGTCAACTGTTACAAGATATTTGTTGGGGAGGCAGTGGGTCTATTCTTGCCTCCCCCTCTCCTCCTCCCACACAATGGGGCTGTGAAACTCACATGGGGATGCTGTCTAATTAATATGTTTATGTTTCATATTTGGCTAGCTTTTAGCTGGGTCTCGAAACACTTACAGCTGTTCTGTTGGGCTGCAGGTGTTAAAAAACTGAGGAACACTGCACTAGATCATATCAGTGTAAGTTTTCCTTCCAAACCAAAATATCAGGTAACTGTTTCAAGAGGCTGGCTTAGTTGGGAACTGTGGGACTTGGACTACAATAATAGACTCCGCTCAGAATGCGACAGCTATGATATGAAGATCAGCGTAGACAAAACAGAAGTGATGACATTCTCTAAAAAAAAAAAAAAAAAAAGAGGAAAAACCACAATTATCAAAATTCAACAACAGTTAAAACAAGAGAAGGATTTTACGTATCTTGGACGCTCTTTGTGTACCCATTCTTTGATTTCTGAGCTTGGAGAGGGGAGAGTTCTGCATTACAGTTCCCTATGAAATTGTGCTTTTGTACTGGACAGGGGAGAGTTCTGCATTACAGTTCCCTATGAAATTGTGCTTTTGTACTGGACAGAAAAAAAAATTATGCCCCCACTTCACCCCAGTAGATTCTAGAACATCTCTGGTCTTAATTGACCTGGGGGTTAATGTATGAGACTTAAGTGTTACAACTAAAAGTCTTCCAGATCATTTATAGCTAACCAGCCAACTGCAGTCTCCACATTCATCTTATAACCTGTTTAATGTGTGATATTTTGTATGATATGCCATAATGATTCACTTCTTATAACTCACTTTTCATGATTAATTTTTGTGACAATCCATTTGATGGCTTTTATTGTTATTTCGTTTTAGCTGGGTCTGTGATTAAAAGAATAAAAAGCAGATTTTTGCTCATTTGCAGAGCAGAGTTGTGAATTAAACTAGTGCTTGTTAAGAGTGGTCAGGAGAGTGGTATAGAAAGAAACTAGAGACTCAACCTTTTTACTCTGTTAATGCTAAAAACCAATAGGCCATAAACCCCCTGAAAATCCTGAAAAATCCTTAAAAAATTTTTTACACCAGTAAATAAATCAATACGAAAAATATGTCTATATATGTAAAAAATATATTTCAAAATATATAAAGATACATTAGGAGATTAATCATTAAACATGAACAAGGTAAAGCATTAAATGGAATACATTCCTAATGGCCTAAAAAATATGTATATAATGACTCATGCCACAACCCTGTGAAATGTGACCTCTGTTGCTGAGGTTACGGAAAGATTATGATTTCAGCATGCTTTCAGAAAAGCTATTTGGTTGAAAAAGACTTCTGCCCCCATGCCGTAAATATATTTATGTCTGGGGCTCCTAAGTGCTGCGCAGGCACAATCTGAACCAATGGCATTAAAGTACACTTCTCAGAAACAAGCCAATACAGACATGCCAGGTTCACAACGTTTATGGAAATCACATAACATAACCCTTGACCCGTTAAGAGTTGTGGAGGTGTATTGATGGAAGCACTAGCAGATAAAACCTGCCATCTTTGTCTTCTGCTTGATAAATAAGTCTATTTCTTGGTGTTGTCATTCCAGATTATTCTTTGCTCTCTTCTTTGACTACCCCCTAGTGTTCCTTGAAGCAGAGTCTTTGCAATTGAATCATGTCTCAACACGTGCCCGAACCAAGCTAGCCATTTTTATTTGTGAAAATATGGCCACAGAAATACTGGGTTCATGGCTTCTTCAGGCAGCAAGGTTTAAGAGTGATAAAAGGCAAACGACTAAACTACAGAATCAGGGTTGGTGTATCTTATTCTGTATGTACTCTTAAAAAAAGGTATTTGTGTCATTTACAGCTAGGCTGCAATATCTGCGCCCCTCAACCCAACACATCTGATTTCAGTAAATCCCTAATTAGTTACCTTTTATGACATGCTTTTTGAGGGCAGTGGATCTGTACTCTTGCAAGAACAGCAAGTGGGAAAGGATGATGCCCGATTAAGAGCACTATGTAGGAAGCCAAATCTGAGCACTTAAAGACTAATTGATTCCTTGTGCAGTGAGGATAATTCGTTAACAAACTGCATAATCTGTTAGTTCATTAAACTGTGTTTTTCTGGCGGTACACAACGGTGCACACTAGCAGCACCTTTTTAACGGAATTTTTCAGCACTACAGTAATAGACACCTTGAGGTGAGTACTGGCAACTTTTTTTAAGACACTTTATGGTTGGTACTGGTACCTTGGGGGAGGGGGGGGGGTGGCTAACTGATATAAACGAAACCCTTAGACCTTCTGTAATGTTCTTTGTATAATCTGCACCGGTCCAGAACAGAAGAGAGTTACCCCAGTTTAGTTATGCAAGGTTTATGAAGACAGACAGTATATGTGGCAGTAGTTAAAACAAACAAATTTATAAATTTGGAAGATATAAATATTCTTACTGGTTGTGTAGTATTCAAGAAATGATGTTGTATTTATAATTAATCACTTGCAGGTTGTGTAGTTCACAAGAAATAACCGTTATATTTCTTATGATTTTTATTTTGTATTTTATACATGATTTAATATTCATTAAAATCTGTCTTATGTTTTTATGTTGCTACTTGGTTTATTTAGCCTACTGGTTCCCAATTATCGGAGATCCTTGGACCCCCTCCTATTTCTCAAGGTCTGCAACAGACCCCATATTTTTCAATAGCCAAACTGTTAAACCTCGTGGGAAGCAACAGTTTGCGATCCATTGTTTGGTGGGCAATAGTGGCTTTTCTCATTCTATGTCGATGTAAAAGCTCTTTAATAGCATCAATCACATCTACTCCTAGGGCAGGAACGTTTGACTAAATTTACTCAAGAGGCCAGAATGTTGGAAAACAGGGATCGGAGCCTCTGCATAGAAAGATCATTAATGCAACTGGCAGGTGATGCACGGTCCACTTGCTAGGTGTCTGTGGGCCCAATTTGGTCAGCAGGCCGCTAGTTGAATAGCCCAGTCCTAGGGCAACCCCTTGCTTTCTCATCATATTTTTTTTCATGTATAGTACTTTGTTGGTAGTTGTTCTGGCTGCATTTTTACTAATTTATAAATATTAGAATTGCAAAAAAAAAAAAAAAAAAAAAATTTTTTTTTAAAAAAAAATCATGAACCCTTAACCCTTTCATTCCCAGGAGGTAGTTGCCACTTTCAGGAGTGGGTTATTTCCACACTGGCTGCAGACATTGAAAGCACTTACTGTAAAAACCAGATTTATTTAATGTGATCTGACAGCATATAAAAATGTAAGAAAGGCATTGAGTGATTTTATGGAAACAAAGGGAAGGACTAACACACACATCTTATGTTTTTACAGACTGAAAGACTAAGTTTATCCAGGGGCCAAAGTGTTGAAAATGGAGACAGTCGTGGGCCAGAGAGAGCCCTAGCATAGAAAGATTCCTCTACTGCCTTTCTAGGCCCTCAACTAAGTCGTTTATCGTTCGCTATCATATGCAGCTCTCTCGTGTACTCCCCATCTTTTAAATTTTACACTATAGCTCCCTTCTCCGTGTTTTTTTAAATCTTCCTTTATTTCTATGCCCCTTATGGAAAGATTATTAATACAACACGCTGGCAGTGATTTCTAGGCCGATTGTTAGGCTTCTACAGGCGGGATTCAGCCTGCGGGCCACCAGTTGAATAAC